ATTTTTAAGGAATTTTTTTTATTATGTATAATATTATTATGTCGAACCTTCCTCACCTCGCTTTTTATTTATCGTTAAACCCTCCGGTAAGAAATCCATTCCATTCTCCCATCAAGCATTGGCGATTTCTGGTGATTTTCTCATCAAAGCTTGGCGACTGAAAACCTGGCAACTCTGCACGACAGAGCGTCAGTCAAACGAGAGCACATACCGGACGCCGGCCGATAAAGCCAGTATCCAGACGTATGGCCAAAAGGTTTCTCTATGAAAATGTGAATAATAGGTCCGTATTATTATCGAGATTTGAGGAGTGTTATTTAACTAAATATTAAAAAATTGGGTTACATCCTCCCCACGCCCCTAATTCTTTGATTTCGCCACCACTGGACAATTTTTCACCCATGGGCATCCCAACTAGCAAAGTAGTGCTATAAGCTTCTGGTAAAAGAACCGTTTAGCCATAAAAGCTCTCTATTGTTGTTGCTTGAACACCAAAATGCTTTCTTAATGTGTGGAATGCAAATTTGCTTTCTGCAACATATTTGCCATAACCAATATTTTAAGACTAACAACGCATGCATATTGGGTCAGAAGGTTTTATCAACTGTTCAAACAGAAGATATAGATCTCTTACAAATTCTGGGTAAATCATTCGACTCTGTCGCTATTTCATTTCAGACATTTGTAAATTTGTTGTATAATACCTGCAGGCAACACCAAAATATTCTAATAAACTAAAGGCAACATGGACGATGCCACGATTATAAACAACCACCCGCCATATTCGGAAAACATTTATTCCTCTACTTAATATTAAATAATTATGTTTCAGTTCGAAATCTAGACATACTTTTGATCATTATCAAAATATGAATCAAATATGAAGCCCGTAGAAATTGCGTAACTAACGATAACCACAATAAAATTTGCTGCACAAGTAATTCAATAGCCCTATATCACAGTGTAGAAGTTTATCATATACCTGTGTATCAATTCACAATGGCCGGTATGTAAGTAAACAAGATGACTGTTTTGTGTTGGTTATATATTTTTCACTTCGTCTATACAATACATAAGAAATAGTTTGGTTGCAATAAAGTAGAATCACGTAACAGAATAGTTGTATAGTTGACAAAAACTGAATCTTGCACTGACGCAAATGTCCTATAGCAGCTGCAATAGGCTTACACTTTTGTTGTATAACTGTTACCTGTAGCCCTTATACAGCCTCTTAAATGACTGAAGTGTCCTATTAGGTGTGCCCATTCCGCTTGTATAGCTGTTCTAAGAGGGTTTTGCCAATTTTCTTACAGTATACAATGCTGTGCCAGGAATACTGTATAATCATTTTTGCAACTCTAATAGGAGTGATAATTGTTAGTTGGGATATTAGTAACCTTGTGTCTATATATCGTCCAAATCCAAGAGGTACAGGGTCCGTAAGAAAGATCGCATGTTTTTCGAATGGGTACTACATCGAGTAGGCTGGTCCCGTGTCGGTGGGGAAGGGCGTGTTGGATAGTGGGAGAAGTGCCGTTTCAGTTGGCAAGATGGTTTGGAACGTTGAGCATCGTGTGTTCACTGTACGTCGGTATCCTGAAATGGCGAGTCTGTTGTTCGATCGCAACGTGAGTTTCGCGTTCACTTTCGTGTTCCACGTCGTGGGACAGTACTAGACCGTAACACCATTTGGGTGGAAGCATTCAACACAACAGGTACTGTACTTTCCAAGTTATAGACGGGCCAGAGATTAGCGTACAGACTCACAGACGGATATAAGAGACATGGCTTGTCGTAATGTACATGTCATGTAAGGTCCAAGAAACATAAAATCTTATTTTCAAAATGTTTCACGGTTTCGTAATTCCCTACCGTAGGCGTGAGAAGTAGTACACTGAAACCGAAAAAAAAATAAAAGTGTAAGCAAGTCTCCGATGTTTACTTACCCGTGCTCATCGTCCAGTTCAAAAGCTAATGAACTCACGAAATAAGCCCACCTTAACGACGCGACGAACGCAATCAATTACCGGTAATGGCTCTATTATTATCTAGACTGTATTTAAAATCCTCACCTAACCACAAATATCATAAACATAAATCCTGAACCGCGAATATTTATTCTTATTGCAGCTCATTTGCGTACCTGCAATGAGCTTAATCTAACTTTGATGCGATTACGGTCACGAACGGTCTGAACCGGTTTCCTCGACAAGCTAAAAGTGCACCTTACAGGCGGACGTTCCGTTTAATTTACGAAACTGCGGTTTTTACGATTTATTTTTACCTTTTTGTCACATAAAATCTGGTTGTCCAAGGTAATGTTCGGATCAAACAATCGGCCTTACGCGAAACAATTTAGTTACAAAAGAAATACACATAAATTAACGAATAGAGCGTAGCATGAAATACTTGCTTCGGCATTGAAAAGAGGCGCAGTTAAAGCTAAATACTGGTTTTGCAGATGATACTGCAATATTAGGTATATGAAAGCACTGACTAGTCTGATCTAAAGAGTATAGTTGAAAGTGTTTTTGTCAAAACTGTTCGGTGATTCAGGACCAGAAAATTAAGTACTAGCTATTCTAAAACACATTTTTCACCATTTGCATTTTATGCTAGACATTTGCCTAATCACACACATTTCTCCTTCAATATTAGTGATCAAAAACTGCAAATTAATCGAGTGGCAAACATAAAATACCTTGCAATAGTATTGGATTCTCACTTACGTTCGGAAATCAATTATATTTTGAAGAGAGATTTGTATCGTACAAAATTAAATACCTGCAAATGTACTCACAGCAATTTTTTTATATATTATACAGTACACCGATTGAGCCTCATCTCGCATATGGTTTTAGCATGGGGAACTGCATGTTAATCACATATCTATAATTCAGACTTTTTTCCAAAAGCTATTCTAAAAATGATGTTCAAAGAACCGAAACTTTCTCCCACTGACAAATTTTACGCAGACTTACAGATATATGATAACACAGCTTTACTTCTTAGATAATATCACTCAGCGCCATAAATTTGTCAATAACGACCAAAAGATTAAATATAATCATTAAAAATGTACAAAATTCGTGGCACAGTAGTTCTTAAGCTACGTAAAGGGCCTAGTCATACTCAGCCGTGACGTGACAGTGCTGTGATCAGCACGTGATCCGCCCTGCGACACTGAAAACATTCTTTCTGGAATTTGGATGAACTGATTCACACTAGACCGGCACGTGGAAGTGGCCGTGTTCTCAGTGCCCTCGACGACGCCGTACCGTGATCATCGCATTGTTTTGGAACGATATTTTTGACAATTTTCACGGCCGTGTTTTTATGTAATTTCGTGAATATTTTGATATAATTGGTCAAAAAAATTAATGATGAAAAAATAATTGAATTTGTACGCGTAAATCCGGTGCTGCAGAATAAGTCACATTCAAAATACAAGAACCTTCGTTTTCTTTACGTTTCTTTATCACTTTTCTGACTGTCGAACGCGGAGGTACCACCCGGCGGATCACGCGGCGGGGTCAGAATGTGTGCATGGCCTTAGGCCTTAGGCCTTCGTGGTAGTTGGAGTATAAAAAAAATCCAGAATAGATGCATTAATTGCAAGTTCATCCTCTGAAAATTTTGCCATCTCGACATCACGTGAACACAACTGCACTGTCGCGTCACGGCTGAGTGTGAATAGACCTTAAATCTATAATGCAGCGGTCATATCTCTATTTAGCGCCAAAATCCTAAGAAATTATACCCAGACTTGAAAAATTTAAATTTCGGAAATTATTTCAAAAGAAATTTAAAAAGTGGCTACATTCTATACTGAGTGACATATAAAATGCAACATCCAAAATTATTTGTTGAATTTTCATAAAAACTTGTAAACATATTTGCTAAAATGGAATTTTTCCCTATTCCGAACCGTACTTCATTTGTAAAGGCTTTTTTTGTCATACCAGGCTCCGAATAATATGAACATATTTACTCAATATTCACAGATTTTTCTGTGTTGCTTCCACTTGTTGCATTTGTTGTTTCATTGCATTATCATGCCCAGAGTTCGTAGACGCGCTATTTTCGCTTAAATTAGTTTAGAGGGGTCGTATAATTGGGTTACGTGAAGCCGGATTTTCTTTTAGAGAAATCCCTAACCTGGTGAATTGAAACGAAGCTACTGTCATGCTATGTTCAAGCACATGTGGTTAAAGATGGAAAGTCCAATATTCCATCGAACGGCATATTCATCGAAATGTGGGTGTTAAGGTACGGGGTTCCATTGGTTACCGAAGCAGGTCACGATAAGTGTTCATTCTGCGCCCAGCGCCAAATCCACAATCACATCTGCTACCCTTTTTGGAAACATTGCAAGATCACTTTTTCGTCATGACAATGAACGACTTCATGTCGCACGTGTTAGTTTAGACTTCTTAGAAGCGTCCGAAGTGGACCTGCTCCAGTGGCCTCCTCGATTTCTAGACCTTTCCCCTTTGGGAAGATGGCTGCAAAATTCACCACACCTTCCACAAACATTGGAGGCATGATATACAATACACCAAGAAGACACCAGTCACCTAATTCAATCAATGCCGCGACCGCTTAACGAATTTGTAGCCAACAGATGAGAGCTTTAACACATTATTAACTTTTAAGGTGGTAAACCTTATTATCAGTAGAACTAGTGAAAGTATGCTCAAAGTTACAGCATCCCTAGTCGGTGTTGCATTTTCTATATCATTTAGGAGTGGAATTTATAAACTCATAAATATTGAACATCAAGTAGATACATAATCTACTGTGACTACTTTTTTGCAATTTGTATTCCTCAGTTGCAACTTAAAATTATTGCTCCATGTACAGGCAATGCCTCCTATTGGGCCTGTCTTTATTCTACATTTATTTACTCGTGTTGTTAACTTTGTACATTGAGTGAATAAATATTATTATCGCCGTCAATATGATGGTTGTTTCTCTAACTATGTTCTCTATTGTTCCAGGATGGTGCTTGCGCAAGCACCCCGTGCAAGGTAGAAAACACATCTGCTGAGGATAAGTGGAGAAAGAACGAAACGTCCAGGAAAGGAAAGAAAACCTACGCGCCCCGGAAAAATATTGAAAAGGTAACTCCTACTACAGATCTGAAGTTGCATCACCTAGTGGACAGTATTTTGTAATGAGATGTGATGTTATATGCTTTCTGCAAACGAGATTTTGCTTTCCAAACGGCAAGTGTAATATTTACCCATACTTTTGTCAATGATCCTTAAAGATGTTAACGACACTCGTACATCGCAACTGTTTGATGCATTAAAGTTTGTTCCTTTCTAAGAAGTATTTGGCCTCAAGGTTGATTACGAACGGAGCTAAGGAGTGTCAAGGGTCAGCCACAAAATTAGGTCCAATTGTGATTACAGTGTTGAGAAGATGTTCAGAATGTTAGCGTTACCCCCAAGCTTGAATATTCAAACTTAGCAGCGCGATATCAATGTAAGTGACAGACCGGGTACATTAATTTACACTTGCCGCTTGGACAACCGGACAACTTGAGCGACTGAGTTCCAGAGATATGTAGGAAAGCATAGCTGATAAACTGTTTACCACAGTTTATGACAGGCCTCTCCAACTCAGGTGCAACCAGCACAGCGCCGAGCACCGCTCGTATCACAGTGCTGCGGAGTGAGTACGTGAAGGTGGGGGAGTGATTAGGCAGCGACATACGCATCGTGAATAGAAATGACCCGGGAGCTGGTGGCATTGAGTATACGTTCATCGCGGATTCGACTAAATTTAGTAATAATATGTAGTTTTTACGTAAATGAACAAGAAGAGCTCAGTAAGACTTAAAGATACAACGTGGCAAGAGAATTTCACCGTCCTCACCGGATCCAATGAAGCCTACAAGGTTTGATGGAAATTTGTGGCTCATTTGGAAAAACATGGTATGACAAACTGATTTCCGCTAGAAGTTTCTGTCGTATCGACTGGAAGCTATAGCAGGCAATGCAAACAGATAAAAATAATACATCCTGATTTGCTCATTTGAGTCCGTCAGTTTAACACCAGGCTTCTAGATGTTTGAAAGTATAATGTAAAATGAAACGTCATGACCGTTGATATACGTATAGGTTATGGTAAAGTCATACCGTCACGTTGTATCTTCAAGTCGATATGACAGGTACTTTCATCGGCATACCAAACCCTTTTCTTCATTTACTTAAAACTACATATTATTACCAAGTTTAGTCGACTCCGTGATAAGGTTTAATTTTGCCGGACTTGAGCCCCAACGGAAAATGAGTGGGGTGACATTTGAATTGGTCTGATCGAGTCAACGCGCGGGTGATAAAATAATGTTCATAATTTCGACGTAAACACACATATTCTTAAGACGATCTTTGACAGCGTTTCGATTCAACAAATTTTCTAATATTTGGTACAGTGGCTTGAGCAGTGAAAATTCTGAGTATCGCCTCTAAGGACACATCAGACAAAGACCTGGTTTTAGTTTTGTTCAAATTCATTAAAGAAAACATCTGCTCGCAGAAGCACGTTGTACCGAACATGGAGCAAGTTTCTAAGGCCAACAATTTTTGGGAAAATCTTGCTGCTTAACACCTTGATAAAACGAAATTAAATCACTATTGTAGTGGTAGTATCTATCCTTGAGGATCGTATCGCATTGAAGCTTAATCAGCTCCATTTGGAACTGCGGCGGTTCTGTTTTGAAAAGCACTGAAGATGGCCTCGTAAAATTCTCATTTGCATGAACATCTCAACGTCGTCAATGATTTAAAAAAAAATCTTTAGCACTTTTGCGCAGCTTAACCAGTGCGTAACACAACAAAAGGGCATGTCATCGTAAATTGCTTCCAGGTCTTTTAAAAATACTTTAAACTGCCGTGGTTGAGACCTTGCTTTCTGCAGAAATTGACACATGTCATTACTACATCCATAATAGATTTGAAATTACGGAAGGGTTTTCGACATAGTTGTTCCTGATGTAATATGCAGTGTACCGATGATATCGGAGGTAACCCAGCGTCGCGTACTTTTATTTTCATTCGCCCAGTAAGACCTTGTGCTTCCGATAACATTGCTGGCGCTCCATCAGTAACAACACTACGCAAACTTTTGAGTAGTATACTCATGTCATTCATTGTGTCTTCTACAGCATCAAAAATATCTTCTCCGGCCATTGTATCTTTGAGCGGGATAACGTCTAGTAGTTCGTTGGTGATAGTAAATACTATTTCGATACCTCTAACGAAAACAGCTAATTAGGCTGTGTCAGAAATGTCTTTACTTTCATCGAGAGCTATAGAATACTGCACAAAATGGGCACATTTTCCCGCAGTTGTTCTTTTAAATCTGCACCAAGTTCAAGTATCCGACGAGAAACTTTTTGCTCGGTCATACTAATTATCTCAAAGTTGCTTACAGGAGATGGGCACAATATTTCTTCACACTCCACTGAGCATTCTTTGACAAGTGCACCGTCAGTAAACGGATTTTCAAAGCAACAATATAATTTGCCTTGCGACACCATTAATAATAATCAACTACGACCAAATTAATGTTTACCTCTTCAGAACTCAGAAGGGCTGGCCTCAATACCATGTGACAAGTTAAACATTTTGCCTTTCCATCAGTATTTACAAAAAAAAAGGCTTCTTCCATGCAGGATTGAATGACATCGTTAAAAAAAAGATACACGTTAAGACGCTAAAAAACCTGTCTACTTTGTCTTGCCCTATTAAGAAACGGCCCTCGCCCCAGAGACAGTCGGCTAATATGTTTCTCTCTGTCGCGACGGCTGTGCGGTCGAGGTGGAGGGGGAACGGCACCGGTGCCGCTGGGTTCAGCATCGGAGCGCACCAGCACCAAGTGCTCGAGTTGGAGAGGCCTTGTTTATGAGCTGGGATGATATCAAACGAATTTCATAATAAGTATTGTTCGATTTCGTTAGGGTGGTTAGGTTACGTTGTAAAAAGTTACTGTACCGCATATGTACCCAGATTCAAATACTGAAGACACTGACATAATAAATGTGCTAAAGTTAACTCGAATATAATATCTTTGCAAAAATTTACTCAAACTGCAGTGATACATCAAGGTGGATATATTTATGCGGAGTATCTCCTTACCTCTCTTGGAATGATGATTAGCAAGAGTTGTTATTCTAAAAGACCTTGCAGAAGCCTTATAGAAAATGACTTTGGACAACTTTTTAAACAGTATGTTGTAAATTTAAACATGTACAAGGTTTTTCCATGAGTAATTTCAGAGATACATGGCAAATTGGGCAGTCCATAGGTACTTTATAATAGCATATCATAGTTTTGGTACAAGACATATATATATATATAGTTTCGTATCTATATGTCTTGTCTAAGCGTCAAGATGCTTCAGCTGTCAATGGGTGACTCTGTTGTGATGTGACATCTGCTTTAGAGATGGCGTTATTGGAGGTCTGAAGCTGTGGGTTGTATACTACAGCTAGAAAGAAACGGCAGTGAGGACTTGTGTACTAATAACCAGTGTTGGTGATAATTCTATTAATTTTTTGTCTCAAATGCACTTATTTGAGATGTATGCCAAGCTAAGAATTGCGCATCCGCTTTTTCTTATTCAATCTGGAAGACTAATGAGCAAGTTTCTTAGATAATAGTCCTGCCGTTCTACGATTCTGTACATGCACAGGGTGTCCAACTCTTGGACTAGTGAGGTGTTGCTCAGTGACAAAAATTTTGTTGAAAACTGCTCACGATCATCCTGCACCGTTCCTATAGGAAGACGTTCGAAAAATATTGAAGAGTATACATGGTGTCCAGAATATTGCCTCTTACATAAATACCTATAATTTTATAACACATTTAGATAAAGTTACCTACTACCAATTTTTGTCGAGAAGCTGTTGCCGTAATAATTATGCACTTTGTCTAAAATAAGAGACTATGGCAACCAGTACCTTGGTCTCCTCATTAGAAGGAATACTCAATTTTATATAAGAATATATGTTATGCCATTGGGTTGGTACATGGTTTACACGTTCCTTGAATTGCTTGACTAATTAAGTTGTACAGATCCCCGAACATACATAATTCATCTTCCCTTGACACATCCCGTGTATTTTCAAATCACCAAATCCAACTATTTCTAATGACTAGTCAAATGTGTTTATTTGACCAATTCGAGGGTAGGCGCTTAATATGGTCGAGATACGGGCTGACATACCTGATTATTTCTATGGCAAAACATATATATATATATATATATATATATATATATATATTATAAAAACAAACAACAAAACCAGTTAGTACCTAAACATGTAATAGAAAATATGGATATCTCTAAAAAAACAGCTCAGGAATGGAACACCCGACATAATACTGGATATTTCCGAAATGCCACAGAGACGGTGCCGGATGATCTTGAACAGTTTTTGAAACAGCTTTGCGGCTCGGACTGATACTCCATCCTTACAAGTTTGGTCCACCCTGTACATGTACTCACAATGCAATGAAGGTGAAGGAGCTGGTAGCGGTGATGAAAAGAATGTACCCAACCCACAATACGCTATAATATGGAATGGATTGCCCAAATTGGACAAACTGTAATCTAAAACTACTTTGGGCCCAAGGTCGCTTTTCTCATACTCATCTGTAGCATTCTAGATTAAAAACAAATAGCCGACGATCCATTCGCTAGGTTTCTTGTGAACCTTTTCAACTTATCGGGAAATTTTGAAAACGGGCTTTTCTGATCGTCCAAGGAAACCATCAGACTAACAATAACCTACGGTATCCATAAGCAACCCTTTATAAGAGGTACTCCACATAAGAAAGAAATACTTCGTTTTTGTTTATGGATTCATGTTAACAAATTGTCGTAAACCTTGAAACGATTAGTTTATAGATAATTTTGTAGATAGGGTAAACATTCCTTAGATCGTTCCGTTCACATGTTACTGCAAATACATTTTATGACTGTTATATTTTTTTACAATCAATAAAATGTACGTAAAACTACCTGTGTTTTATTCCGTCTGGCAGAACTGTTGATGTTCTGTCGATATTCTGAGGTTATAGTACGAGATCTAGGCAATTTAATCTGCAGTTGCCTGTTTTTAATAAAACATGACTGGCAAAGGTAAGCCTGCTGTAATCTGTTCTGCTATTATTACTCATTCATCAAAATCTATTAAAAAAACAGATAACCTGCACATTTAAGCAGCTGGATCTTAGACTATTAGAAAAGCACGAAAATCCCTCAGAATTGCTACTTTTTCTAAAAACAATATCCCCCAAATGGCAGTGAATTAATGGTTCAAAGAGCGGAGAGACGTTTTCTGTTGCGAAACGTGTGATATCCCCCAGAACATGATTTCCCCAAAAAAATTCTCCAATTAAGTCCCCAAATTTGGGGGAAAATCCTCCAACATTGCAACCCTGTCAAAACGCCACTGGCACTCCGGGCATCAAATTTCGGGTTCGTTTTTACAACACGAACAGCAGTTCCGTAGTTTTCGCTGGTATATACTCTCCATGATTTACCTACTGCCCGGGATCTCATAATTTAGCATCATCATAAAGTATCATACCAGATGTAACAGGAGCAACGGGCCGGCTCTGTAATTTAAGTTCAGGTCTATACTAACTCTGAAGAGCACGGGGCTTAATGATGCCCTTAGATTTGACATTCTCACCTTAAAGGTTATTTCAAGGTCACATTTGTGTTTACATGACAAGCCCCTGTTTTGATATTGGCAGACGAAAGCACTGATAGTTCTACGTCAAAATATGAATCAACATTAT